ATTATGTGAAAAAACATTACTTAATTAGTCTATGAGTGAGTTATGCTACGGGGTGCTAAACGAAAGGCCGGTATATAATAATTAAAATATAAGAGAAGTTGGTAGGAGATTCCAGTTATCAGAAGTAAACATGGATAAATTATATTTATTTTCTTATATTTAATTTATTTTAGTGTACTTCTGATGATAGTAATCCCCAACCAGTGAATATCTACAGTCAACATTTTCTATCATTTTTTATTATATAGTAAAAGTAATATTTATTATTATTTATTTATTTAAAAAACTTTTAAATATATATCAGAATGTATATATTATACTACTCAAAGCACAGTAATTGTTCAATTAAAATATAAAAATTATTTGCTGTTGTTTTTCTTATTTTCAGCCTCTACAAATAGCATTTTTTTCTCTTGATTTTATAAAAAAAAATAAACAATTATCCTGATATAAATCACTTATAATGTCATAATTCAAACAAACTGTAATTAACCAGCCTTTCGTTTAGCACCCCCTAGCATAACTCACTCATCGACTAATTAAATAATATTTGTTCACACAATCTAGGCCGTAAATTCGGACTATGTAAACATACGTTCGAATATAAAAAAATAATTGTATAAATAATAATTTCATACATTTTTTTTTAATAATGACATTATAAGTGATTTATATCAGGATAAGTGTTTATTTATTTTATTAAATCAGGAGAAAAAAGGCTATTTGTAGAGGCTGAAAAGAAGAAAAATAACAGAAAATAATTTTTATATTTTAATTAAAAAATACTGTGCTTTGAGTAGTATACTATATACATTCTCGTATATATTTAAAAGTTTTTTATAAATAAATAAATAGTAATAAATATTACTTTTCAGTATTTGTAGATATTCGCCGGTTGGGGATTGCCATAATCAGAAATACACAAAAATAAATTAAATATAAAAAATATAATTTATCCTTGTTTACTTTTGATAACTGTAATCTCCTACCAACTTCTCTTATATTTAAATTATTATATACCAGCCTTTCGTTTAGCACCCCCTAGCATAACTCAATCATCGATTAATTAAATAATATTTGGTCACACAATCAAGGCCGTAAATTCGGACTATGTAAACATAAGTTCGAATTTTAAAAAAAAAAAAATGTATTAATAAAAATTTCATAAAAGCTTGTTTGAATGATGACATTATAAGTGATTTATATCAGGATAAGTGTTTATTTATTTTATAAAATCAGGAGAAAAAAAGGTATTTTGTAGAGGCTGAAAAGAAGAAAAACAACATCGAATAATTTTTATATTTTAATTCAATAATTACTGCTCTTTGAGTAGTATGCTATATACATTCTCGTATATATTTAAAAGTTTTTTATAAATAAATAAATAATAATAAATATTACTTTTCAGTATTTGTAGATATTCACCGGTTGGGGATTGCCATAATCAGAAATACACAAAAATAAATTAAATATAAAAAATATAATTTATCCTTGTTTACTTTTGATAACTGTAATCTCCTACCAACTTCTCTTATATTTAAATTATTATATACCAGCCTTTCGTTTAGCACCCCCTAGCATAACTCAATCATCGATTAATTAAATAATATTTGGTCACACAATCTAGGCCGTAAATTCGGACTATGTAAACATAAGTTCGAATTTAAAAAAAAAAAATGTGTTAATAAAAATTTCATAAAAGCTTGTTTGAATGATGCCATTATAAGTGATTTATGTGAGGATAAGTGTTTTTTTTTTTTGTGTTTTTTTTAGTAAAATGAGGAGAAAAAAAAGGCTATTTGTAGAGGCTGAAAAGAAGAAAAACAACAGTGAATAATTTTTATATTTTAATTAAAAATTACTGTGCCTTGAGTAGTATACTATATACATTCTCGTAAATATTTAAAAGTTTTTATAAATAATAATAAATATTACTTTTACTCTATAATTAAAAAATATTAATTTAGAGAAAACGTTGACTGTAGATATTCACCGGTTTGGGATTGCCATAATCATAAATACACTAAAATAAATTGAATATAAGAAAATTTATATAATTTATTCTTGTTTACTTCTAATAAGTTTAATCTCTTACCAACTTCTGTTATATTTAAATTATTACATACCGGCCTTTCGTTTAGCATCCTCTAGCATAACTCACTCATCGATTAATTAAATAATATTTGTTCACACAATCTAGGCCATAAATTCGGACTATGTAAATATAAGTTCGAATTAAAAAAAATAAATAATTGTATTAATAATAATTTCATATATTTTTTTTTAATGACATAATAAGTGATTTATATCAGGATAAGTATTGTTTTTTTTGTTTTTTTAGTAAAATGAGGAGAAAAAAAGGGCTATTTGTAGAGGCTGAAAAGAAGAAAAATAACAGAAAATAATTTTTATATTTTAATTAAAAAATACTGCGCTTTGAGTAGTATACTATATATATTCTCGTATATATTTAAAATTTTTTTATAAATAAGTAAATAGTAATAAATATTACTTTTCAGTATTTGTAGATATTCACCGGTTGGGGATTGCCATAATCAGAAATACACAAAAATAAATTAAATATAAAAAATATAATTTATCCTTGTTTACTTTTGATAACTGTAATCTCCTACCAACTTCTCTTATATTTAAATTATTATATACCGGCCTTTCGTTTAGCACCCCCTAGCATAACTCAATCATCGATTAATTAAATAATATTTGGTCACACAATCAAGGCCGTAAATTCGGACTATGTAAATATAAGTTCGAATTAAAAATAATAAATAATTGTATTAATAATAATTTCATATATTTTTTTTTAATGACATAATAAGTGATTTATATCAGGGTGTTTTTTTTTTTTTTTTTTTAATAAAATGAGGAGAAAAAAAAGGCTATTTGTAGAGGCTGAAAAGAAGAAAAATAACAGAAAATAATTTTTATATTTTAATTAAAAAATACTGTGCTTTGAGTAGTATACTATATACATTCTCGTATATATTTAAAGGTTTTTATAAATAAATAAATAATAATAAATATTACTTTTACTATATAATTAAAAAGTATTATTTTAGAGAAAACGTTGACTGTAGATATTCACCGGTTGGGGATTGCCATAATCAGAAATACACAAAAATAAATTAAATATAAGAAAATAAATATAATTTATCCTTGTTTACTTCTGATAACTGTAATCTCCTACCAACTTCTCTTATATTGAAATTTTTTGATACCGGCCTTTCGTTTAGCACCCCCTAGCATAACTCAATCATCGATTAATTAAATAATATTTGATCACACAATCTAGGCCGTAAATTCGGACTATATAACATAAGTTCGAATTTAAAAAAAAAAATGTGTTAATAAAAATTTCATAAAAGCTCGTTTGAATGATGATATTATAAGTGATTTATATCAGGATAAGTGTTTTTTTAAAATAAAATGAGGAGAAAAAAAAGGCTATTTGTAGAGGCTGAAAAGAAGAAAAATAACAGAAAATAATTTTTATATTTTAATTAAAAAATACTGTGCTTTGAGTAGTATACTATATACATTCTCGTATATATTTAAAAGTTTTTTATAAATAAATAAATAGTAATAAATATTACTTTTCAGTATTTGTAGATATTCACCGGTTGGGGATTGCCATAATCAGAAATACACAAAAATAAATTAAATATAAAAAATATAATTTATCCTTGTTTACTTTTGATAACTGTAATCTCTTACCGACTTCTCTTATATTTAAATTATTATATACCAGCCTTTCGTTTAGCACCCCCTAGCATAACTCAATCATCGATTAATTAAATAATATTTGGTCACACAATCAAGGCCGTAAATTCGGACTATGTAAACATAAGTTCGAATTTAAAAAAAAAAAATGTGTTAATAAAAATTTCATAAAAGCTTGTTTGAATGATGACATTATAAGTGATTTATATCAGGATAAGTGTTTATTTATTTTTTATTTTTTTTTTATAAAATCGGGAGAAAAAAAGGCTATTTGTAGAGGCTGAAAAGAAGAAAAACAACAGTGAATAATTTTTATATTTTAATTAAAAATTACTGTGCCTTGAGTAGTACACTATATACATTCTCGTATATATTTAAAGGTTTTTATAAATTAATAAATATTACTTTTACTATATAATTAAAAAGTATTATTTTAGAGAAAACGTTGACTGTAGATATTCACCGGTTGGGGATTGCCATAATCAGAAATACACAAAAATAAATTAAATATAAGAAAATAAATATAATTTATCCTTGTTTACTTCTGATAACTGTAATCTCCTACCAACTTCTCTTATATTGAAAATTTTTGATACCGGCCTTTCGTTTAGCACCCCCTAGCATAACTCAATCATCGATTAATTAAATAATATTTGGTCACACAATCTAGGCCGTAAATTCGGACTATGTAAACATAAGTTCGAATTTAAAAAAAAAAAATGTGTTAATAAAAATTTCATAAAAGCTTGTTTGAATGATGACATTATAAGTGATTTATATCAGGATAAGTGTTTATTTATTTTTTATTTTTTTTTTATAAAATCGGGAGAAAAAAAGGCTATTTGTAGAGGCTGAAAAGAAGAAAAACAATAGTGAATAATTTTTATATTTTAATTAAAAATTACTGTGCCTTGAGTAGTTAGTATACTATATACATTCTCGTAAATATTTAAAGGTTTTTATAAATTAATAAATATTACTTTTACTATATAATTAAAAAATATTATTTTAGAGAAAACGTTGACTGTAGATAAATTAAATATAAGAAAATAAATATAATTTATACTTGTTTACTTCTGATAACTGTAATCTCCTACCAACTTCTCTTATATTGAAATTTTTTGATACCGGCCTTTCGTTTAGCACCCCCTAGTATAACTCACTCATCGATTAATCATGTTATATTAATAATTTTAAATTATATACTGAAAGTAATAATAATAAGAATTATTGTTTATTTATTAATTAATATTGTCAATTACCTGCCCATTGCCCCTTCTGCGAGAAGTCGACGTTGAGGTTGACGAGGGGGGCGAGGAGATAGTAGCCGATGGAGGCGAGGCCCCGGCCCAGCTTGTAGACGACGATGCCGGCCAGGAGAAGGCCCAGTTTCTCGAGCGTCGTGAACATCTCGCCCCGGACTGCCACCATCGATCGGCGCCCCACCCCTCCCTCCCTCCGCAGTACCCAGTCCAAAACCTTCACCACTTTTCCCCACATTTTTCCAAACGCTGGCAAGCTCTCTTCCGCACTCAGACTCGCCACTGACAACCCCTCAAGTCAGAACTGTCCAGGTTTACGAATCAGACTGATTCCGCTTCAATCCTGTGTATGATTCAAAGGATACGATAAAAAACTGATAAAAGTTGGAGTGGCACTCGAACCCGGAATATATCTTTATCGAATTATTTTATTTTATTCTGTTCATTTTTCCTAAAAGTCTTGAGGTTTTATTTTTTACATAAATTAGGCCAATTTTCACCAACATTTTATTTATAAGCTATTAATTACGACGCTTCGACCATACTAAGGGCCATTTTCAAGTCTGGAAAATTGTACAATAATTAATTTAAAAGCAATATAAAAATCATAAATTAGATAAAAAAATCCACTAATGCAAAATAATAGAAGGAAAATCCCTCTCCCCTTGACTATCCCCACCAGGACGATATAAGTCAGTTCCTCCAGAAACGACGTAGGCGAAACCCCTAAATAGCAGGACAATTTAATGTTCAATGAACAAATTAATGCGACATTAATAATGAATATATAACGGAGGACTCATTAAGGTAATATTCAATTGTTTTTCAATGTAAGGTTTAAAGTTTAAAGTTACGTACATGTAAGGTTTTTTATGAGAGAAAATAAGTGTATACTTTTATTGTATAGATTTGGATAAATGTATGTGTATTGAAAATAATATGACATAGATCGTTTGATAAGTTAATTATGTGTAATAAAAAATTCTTTTTGTAAATGTTAAATGTTAACTAATAATGATATTACATCTTCTTCATTTATCCTAAGGGAGATACTTATTTTCTATGTATATAAGTAAGCATATTTTTATCCAGTGATTTATTCTCCCATTTTTTTGTCCACTCAATTAGATCATTACATATAACGTTTCGGGATCCACTTATATCCCATATTCAGACAGTATCCTGCATCATCTTAATCCTCCATAAGACTTTTCATGTTAATAAGTTGTTTTATTTGTTGTCTTATTGCTGGAAAACTTATTTAAGTCTCCTCTAGGGATAGTCTATTCAGATACTGACATAGGGTATTAGTATCTGACTACACTCTTCCTAGAGCAGACTTAAATAAGATATCCAGAAATAAGACAAAAAATAAAACAATTTATTAACGTGACAAGTCTTATGTAGAATTAAGATGATGCAGGATACTGTCTGAATATGGGATATAAGTGGATCCCTAAACGTTATATGTAATGATCTAATTGAGTGGAAAAGAGATGGGAGAATAATTCACTGGATAAAAATATTCTTACTTATATACCTAGAAAATAAGTATCTGCCTTAAGATAAATGAAGAATATGTAATATCATTATTAATTAATATTTAACATTTACAAAAAGAATTTTTTATTACAAATAATTAACTTATCAAACGATCTATGTCATATTATTTTCAATACACATAGATTTATCCAGATCTATACAATAAAAGTATACACTTTTTCTTATAAAAAAGCTTACATGTACGTACTTTAAACTTTGAACCTTACATTAAAAAAACAATTGAATATTACCTTAATGAGTCCCCCGTTATATATTCATTATTAATTTGTTCAGTGAACTTTAAATTGTCCTGCTATTTAGGGATTTCGCCTACGTCATTTCTGGAGGGGTTTTCCTTCTATTGTTTTCATTAGTGGATTATTTTATTTAATTCTAGATTTTTATATTGCTTTTAAATTAATGATTGTATTATATGCGAATATTGTTAATTACATTTGCGTAAAAAGTATTTATATCGTCCACATCTGTATGGTTGTTAACGGAATTCATTAAATTTTTAGTGATATATATTGACTCTATAATTTTTCTTTTATTGTTACTATTTTTCTTATATATTATTTTAGCATTTTTAAAATCAAATTGGTGTTTGTTGTATGTTCCGTGTTGTGAAAGGCTGGTTGATGTGTTTGATTTGGATTTACAATTTTTTTCATGTTTTATTCTTTTTGCGAACCATTGTCCCGTTTGTCCTATATATAATTTATTAGTGCAATTTTTACAATTTATTTTATAAATAACGTTAATTTTCATGTCACGTGGTATATTATCTTTGGTATTAGTATACAATTTTTCAATTTTATTTACTGGTTTTTTACCTAATTTAATTTCCGTTAGATCATATTCCCTGAAAGTCCTTTGAATTTTACTAGATAGGTCTTTAATATAAGTTATTGAATGATATTTAATGTTACATTGTTCAATTTTATTTTCAAATTGTATGGCACTAGGTAACTTTTGAGATTGTTTTTCAAGATTATTAGATATTTTATAATTATTATTTTTGAAGTAATTTGTGATTAAATTCGGTTTTTTGTTTACAATTTTACTTCGGTAGTTATTGTTATGGTTTGTTTTCTGCTGTTTGTTATCATTATTATTATCACTCCGTTTCATTTTATTGTTTTTGTACCATATTTTATTTATAATTCTTTTAGGGTACCAATTATCCTATTTTTATTGATTTATTTTTTTTTTGGATTATTTGTTTATTGATAAATATTACAATCTGTCTCAATAAAGGACATTTATAATAGAGTTCAGAGAGCACATTCACAACATATTTAAAAAATCAAAAAATAAATAAGATAATTTCAAAATAATATAAAGCGATATAAGAAAAAATAAAATATCATAGTGAAGGAAGAAAATATAAATAATAGTAATAAAAGAATAAAAATAAATGAATAAAATAGAATAAATGAATAAAATAGAAATAAATGAATAAAATTTGGACTCCACTTGGACAAACGTTCTACTTGGAATCCTCATACCAGACTTAACCGACAAGAAACCGCTCGACGTTTCCGACTACTCCAGCACTTACGCTCTAAGCTTCCAGTTAATTACAAAAGACTCATATACATGACTACAATAAGACCTATCTGGACAAACGCAGTTGAGATTTGGGGGTCCACAAAGCCATCGAATTCCTCACGCATCCAATCCAAAATCCTTCGTAAAATCCTCAATGCTCCTTACTTTGTCACTAATAAAATCATCCATAAAGATCTTATGTTCCTTATATTTCCGAATTGGCCCAATCCAGATACCTATCCTTCTATAATAAACTTCAGAACCATCCTAACCCTCTCGTTTCTAACCTTGCTTCCTATTCGATCCCTGATAACCCTCCGAGGCGTCTGAAAAGGCCTCGAGATCTTCTATTGTAAATATTTTTTTTTTTTTAGAGTGCTACCAGTGGGTAGTTTCTCAACAAGTTTTTTCATGTTTTTATTTTCTGGTTATCACATTTACTTAATGTATTCTTTCTTAATACAGTTGTGAATTTCATAAATAAAAAAAAATAAAATGAATAAAATAGAATATCAAATTATTAACATACGTGAATGGTTTTAACATATCGTAATCTACACAATTTTTATCTTCGAAAATTTCCAAAATGTGGCGTTTTCTCATAAAATAAATTAATTCAATGATGCACTAAAAACTAATAAGTACCCATTTGCTTTCCGCTTGAATCGTAAGATAATTTGATCACAAAATCGATAGAAAAGGTATCCTACAAAACTATTGGGCTTTTTGGCCTATGTAGCTTCGTAATTTTTTCTCAGTTTTGTGATCAAATTATCTTACGATTCGAGATTAAAACAAATGGATATTCATGAATTTTTAGCAGCTAATAAAATAGACAAATTATAATATTTAATCTATAATTGGTTATGTTCTTAATAATACCCTTATTTCTTCTCACAATTCTGTATTTGTTGTTGTAGTTGTTTTAAAAATGTACTAAGTAAAATAAATGTTTTTCTTATTTTATAGAAAGAAAAGTATAGCCACCAAAATATAACTTTTTGGCTGGCAAAAAGGAATATTTTGTCTGAATGAATTTCACGAGTACAAATTATAAAAATATGGACAGGTGGTGTAAAATTGTGCAATTAATAAAGGATGAAACGCTATTATGAAAAAGAAAAATTTATATGTATTAAACACAAATAAAAGATTGTGAGAAAAAATAAGCGTCTTATTACTAATATTATGCATTAAGAATAAATATAATAATTATATATAATTAAATCTCACTAAAAATATGAATAACCCTAATAAGGTTGTTTATCATAAATTTAAATAGACAAAGTTTGCCGATCTCCAGATTGAAAACCCCTCAATTCGGTGAATTTTCGTACATAAAAAAGCTGTAATTAACGACGAGGTAATCTATTCACGAAGTTTTAGGTGAATGTTAATAATTTGATAAAAGGGACCTGTACAACGAAATAATATAGTGCGATGTGAACAAGATACATACAGATGTGAACAAGATACACACAGAAGTGAACAAGATACATACAGAAGTAAACAAGATACAGGTACAAATCGTTTCACAGCACACACCGTGACACAGGCAGATCTACGGGGGGGCATTTGGGCTGAAGCATCCACCCTTCCATAATGGTAAAATATAACCATGTTTAATGGAAAATAATTATTTCTTAAAGAATTATTGTTCGTGTAATTACATTTAATAAAACTTCAAAAATCACTTAAACGCCATTTCATATAGGTAGGTAGTATCTTTCTCTTTTTTTCCAAAGTAATTATCGTTGTATATATGAAAAAACCTTTCGGGCCGAAAATCTCACAAAAAATTGAATCCTGGATCCGCTAGTACACCGCGATAACTTTAAAAAAAAAATTTCTTAGTTGAGAAAAAAAAAAGTCACAGGATTCACATATTTAGCGACAGTTTTTTTTAAAAATTACTATATGTTTTCTGTATTTTAATTTTAAGGTATTTATATACAAATGCTCTAAGCTTTCAATCAATTATAAACAACTCATATATATGACAGTAATAAGACCTATTTGGACTCACAGAATTGAGCTTTAGGGCTCCACAAAACCATCGAATTCCTCTCGTATCCAATCCTTGCAATCCAAAATCCTTAATACTCCTTTCTCAACAAGAGATTTCATGTTATTATATTTCTG